TGAATTCTTTCTGGGTTAAGTATGTTTTTCTTTTTAATATAGCATGTTGATGAATTTTATTTCTTGATCTATTCAACCAGTCTGTCTTACAATTAGAGAATTGAGATCATTCATATTGAGAATTATTATTGAACTATATTGACTTATTCCCGTGATCACATTATTTAAAAGAAAAGAGAAAGACAACTCAAGTCCCCCAAAAAATGAATGAAGAAAGAAAGAGAGCCAATTGAAACTGGAAAAACAAAACAAAAAGACCTCACAATTCTGCTGTGGTTTTCAATGAGTGGTTTCTTCTAGGGTCCATGGTCTTAAAAATCCAAGTTTCAGTTTTCTCTAGGTAACTTTACATTCTGTGGGTTTATAATGTGCCCTTTCTGTTCCAGGGTTCCCTCTATCCCTATACCCCAGACTGTGGCAACTATTCAAGCCAAGGCATGTTCTTGCTTGTATTAGTAAGTTGAGAAAAAGCAACCAGTCCTCTAGTTTCTGTTGGCTCTAGGACATGGGGTAGGGAATTCAAGCATACTGGCTGGGCCTGGTTTCTCCCTGGGCCTAATGTCCTTCCTGGCCTAAATTTAAATTTTCAAGGAGTCTGTGCCTACCCTGTACCTTGGATGCTGCAGTCTTCCTTGCCTGATTCTCACCCAGTTGTAGGGAGGATTTAACACTGCAAGTCCTGAAGTGAAGTTCTGTAGTTGTTCTGAGGCTTTGTCTTAAACAGAGCCTGATCTTTAAGCTTGTGTGTCTGATTTATTTCACTTAATAATATGTTCTCAAGGTATATTCATTTTCTTACAGATGACTCAAGTTTATCTTTCTTTGTGACAGAGTAATACTCCACTGTGTGTAAATGCCGCATTTTCTTTATTGATTCATCGTTTCATGGTTATATAGGTTTTTCCTAGTATTCAGTATTATGAATTCTGAAGGGGAATAGGTGGGTCAAAATAAATTTCTAGTTTTAGATTTTTGAGAAACACATTCTTAATGCTTTTCTGACATATAGAGCCAGTGTCCCAGGACTGTCCCTGTATCCTGGCCTTACTGTTACAATAAATTCCACTTGCTATACTTTAAAAGTATAAAGCTACTGTGGTCCACAAGAATTTTGTTATCATGTAGAACTTTAAACTGTGTGTATAGAAATTTAATCTTCTCAAAATGACTGTAATAAGAATTGAAGGTAAAAACTGTTTTGTGCAGTTAAAATTTTTCTTGTATAGTCTCATGAGGGACAATGATGGGTGTTGTATCTTGAAAATGTTCCAAGTTTTCGTACATTGTTAGGAAATGTTCACTTTATTTTTGATGTCTACTTGGGTTTGTTTCATGAAGTTAGGTATGCCAGAGTAACACATGTAGTTGAGAACTTCTCAAACATGAGGTTTATTTTTACATTCTCATAACTAGATTTTTTTTTTGTCTTTTTCGTTTTTATTGGTACCAGGGATCGAACTCAAGACCGCACAGTTGCAAGGAATGCGCTTATGCCACTGAGCTAAATCCCCAGCCCCGCATCACTAGATTTTTAACCAAATAGTTTTTAAATCTCCTTGCCAACAGTTGAGCAAATGGAGATTTTCATAGTTTTGCCATCTTATAGGAACACAAGGGTTGTTTCTAGTTTTATTTTCATTTACGTATACCTCAAAAACTTAAGACAGTATAATATTCTGTGACAGTAATACCTACAAATTTTCTATAGAAATCAGAGCTGTTACATTTTTATGTAAAGGTCATTTCAGATTCAGAAAAACATTGTATGAACAGTGTAAGGAAGACCATACAGCGTATACTGAAGTCATCTATTGTTAACTTTTGCCCCATTTGTTTTACCAGTTGCCTGCACAGGTGCTTTTTACTAAATAGAGAAATAGTTTTATTTTCTTAGTGGTTCAGTCCAAAAGGATCAAAAATTTATTTAGTTTTTATGTTTTTGTAGTCTCTTTTACTCGGTGATGTTAATTCCTTAGTCTTGTTTTTTTCTCGTGATTAACATTTTTAAACGATGTAGTCCTTACCTGCCTTTCTCTCCTTTTTCCCCTTTTGAGTCTCTCTTTCCCTCAATAGAGTAAAACATTTTTCATTGTGATGTTTGATGTTTCCTTATAAATTAGATTCATATTTTGAAAACCTAGGTGAAATATTACCTAATTGTTGTATTTTCTTGGACTGTCACATCCAGAGGTACCTGCTTATCGTTGATAAATTGACTGATTCTATTGTGTTATTCCTCCACCATATAGTTACTGTTTTTTTCTTGCAACTGTAAGCAGTTGGTATTAAACTACTTCTCATTAAAATTTGCACTCTACATTGAACAAAATGATCATTATTTGTTTGCCTTACATTGTTAATTTAAATTGTAAATTTGGTTTCAGAGTTTGATTACCTTGATTTTAGGTAAGTAACATACTCATAACTGTCATGGTAAACCAGTTTTTGTATGTAAACCAATCAATGTTGAGAGCTACATATTTATATATATCTCCTGTGTTAATTGGCATTTTATTACTATAACAAAATATCTGAGATAATTACACTAAAGACAGGAAAAGTTTGTTTTGGCCCATAGTTCTGGAGGTTTGTCTGTGTTCAGTGGGCTCCTAACTGTTGAATCTGTGGTGAGGTAGTATGTCATGGTGAGAACACAAAGTATAGGAAATCCTCATCTTACGTCACAGTGCAGAAGAATAAAGACTGGCATCACAGAGTCTCTCTCAAAAGTATGCTCCTAGTGACCTAAGATGCCCCACTAGCACCCACCTCTGAAAGGCTTCTACCACCTGCTAGGAGTACCAAGCCAGCTAGGTACTAATTATTTAACATATGGGCCTTGTGGACAGTTACCCAAATAATTACAGGGACTATATCTATATACATATAGATGGCATATATTTCAGAGATGTTACTAGACCATTGTTCATTTATCTAATCGAATTCTTAGAGCAGAATCTGAATAGAAAAAGAATAGATGTGTATTGATATGTGAAGCATGAGGTTACTTGTAGACAAACGCAGCATAAATGAAGGTGCAGTGATAAGAAAGAATAAGAGAAAAACAATTCAGTGGATCAGTTTTCTGGAAAGGAATAGGGGACAGCCCATTTAGATGGTGAATGTAGTGTTCAAAAATATTTGTAATGAATATTAATGGGAATCAGAATACAATTACGAAGACCCATTTTAATATGTTATTTCAGAGCAAAATCAATATGTCAGAATTTACATTGGATAGATTTACTGAGGCTTGGAGTTCATTTGAAGATTTAACAAGGATCTTTCAGAATTTAAAGCTCATAAAAATAGGTATTGTTTGTACCTTGCAGTAAGTTCAGCAGGAAAGTAGTAAATTAAAGTCTAATCTCAATTTGAGTGGCCATTTTTATCTCTAAGAGTGATGTAAGGGATAAGAATTCACTTTTGAGTTTGATCTCTGTGGTCTCTCTACTAGCGAACAGCTGTCTCTAAGAACAGAAACTCATAGATGGACAAATAGTTAAACTTCGCTTTGCTCAGTACTGTAATTTTTACCACATCAACATGGGAATTTAGACTAGTTGTCTTAATTGCAGTTAAGTTACAATGTGAGAAGTGTAAGATCATTTTATTGTCATTTGTCCTTAGTATGGTTTTCTTAAAACTTTACTTGTAAGAATCTAAGTACTTTTGTCTGCTTTGGAAACTTCTGAAATGGAAAACAAAAGTAATTAATGCTCTAGTATTAGTGCCTTGTAGCTTTCCCTCTTAGATTTTTTTGATTTTGATTTTGATGGGCCCTTTGGCTTTTTCAAAATTCTCTGGGCTATGCAGTATGCCACTTTGTACGTTTCAGAAAATACAGTGCTTAAACGAAATGTACTTGAAGAACCTGGCTCCTACCTTTAATGCATGTCTTTTCTGTAATTTGTTGTTTTCAGGTTTCTTTATCTGTAAAATAAGAGTAGCCAGTTACAAAAGATAGTTGTGAAAATTATAAAACATTTTGATAAAGATCTGCTATCCAATATGCGTCTCTTATTTTTTATAGTCAGAGATAGTGCTAAGTATCAAACCAAATATTTTTTATTAAAATATTTTACATTGCTATTCAAAGAATATCTTGATATGAAATAAAGATCCTTTAATATTGAGAGAATTTATAGTTATATATGTTACTACTGATATTTTATGCATTTTATTTTTTGCTGCTGCTATTGCATTCAACAAAGGGCCTTATGCATGCTAGGCATGTACTCTACCATTGAGCATACCCAAAGGTATTAGTAATGTTCATAAAAATCAGAATTAGAAAAACCTAAGCAACTGAACTTTTAAAAAAATTAATGACTAAGAATTATATAATATGCTATAATCAGTTTATATTCAACTTTGAACCTGTACCTTAAAATACAGAGTAGACACAGATTCATTTTTGTTCTAAAAGGATCAGACCAATGTGTGTGTATTTCAGAATCTTGTTTCACTCTCTCCATCTTTTCACACATAGCTTGTATTAATAATTTGGCATTCGGTTTTGTGTCATAATCCAAGGCATATACGTTCATATATTAAAAAGATATTGATTGTTAATATTCAGTATTTTTATGTCCAACTTGTTTGTTAATTTTACCTATTATTATTAAAGGAACAAAACATAAGCTGGGTGTGGTAGCTCACGCCTGTAATCTCAGCACTGGGGAGGCTGAGGCAGGAGGATCATTGCGACTACAAAGTGAGCTCAAAGCCAGCCTGAACTGCATAGCAAGACCCTGTCTCAAACAAACAAACAAAACAAAAATAAAGTTGAAGTCTGAAATATTTGCAAATACAAAAATATATGTATTATATATGTAAAGATTCCTAAAAAATTGTATTATCTTACATACTTATTTCAGTTTAGTTTTTCCGCTCAATAGTTATCAGTTAATAATGATAGACTGTTAGTATTTGAATTCTGGGAATCTAAAATTTTCCAGTATCTTTGTAATAAAAATTTTTATTTTTAAGTCCTGGAAGATATTTAGCTTCATACATAGGAAAACTCTGAATGCTTTCTGAATAAGTTCATGAGATTTCCTTTCAACAATACTTTTGAAACAGATAAAATTACTTCCTGTCTCTCAGTTTCCTGTATCCATAGCAACCTCTGTTTTGCACACTAAGTGTAGAGGAACCAATGTGGAGAGGTGTTTCCTGCGTAAGCTGTGGCTTAAAAAAAAACCAAGTTATGAAGAGCTAGAAGGCAACAGAAATGGAGTTTAGCAATGTCGCTCTTCAGTTTTAAAAAGAAAACTTTTACTTGAATCAGCTGGCTGTTAATAATATCAATTTCCTATTCTTGGTAAGATTATTTATTTAAATATAAACTTTTAGCTAGAGTGAAAAATATTTAAGTTTTATGAAATATTGTAGTTTAGAGTTTGGTTGTTCTGTAATATATTTGTTTTTCATAAATTGTTATTTGATATTACATTTTAAATTAACAAAGGATATATATCCCTATGCTGTCATTTCTACATCATTTGTCACCTTTGTTATAATCAATTGTGATATTTTAAAGTAACATTTTTCAGTTCGTTAAACTTGAAGTATCTTTTTATCAAATAGTCACTTAATGGCCAGCAGATGTTAATAATTCTAAATCATATTCCAAACATCTGTTGTTTTATACTATTGTACATAGTATGATTTATGTTGGCTGATCCTAATTAAAGTAAAATACAGATATTTTAGTAATATGAAATTTATACTTTTAAGAACTTTCTGATCATGTGAAGTTTTCCTTTTTACATATATATAGCCAATTCTGATATGAACAGAAAAACCAACAGAGTTATGTGTAGATTACAGTTTTTCTGCCTTGCCCAGGACTATTTCGACTTGTTAGCTGTTTTCTTGTATTGTTATTACATAAAGAGATATTTGGATGTTTGTCTGTCAGCTCTGCACTGGAAGACAAATTAACTGCCGTAACTCAGGCCTTACAAGTATTCTTGAGAATTTTCCTGAAAGTACAGTTTTCCTGTATCAAAGTGGAAGTATTATATCTCATATAAGTGAAAATGAGTTAATAGGATCTTATAGCATTGTATTTGGATAATTCTGGCATTTTGTATATACATCTAGAAGCCTTTGTTCAATTGGGGTATCTTTATTTTCTATAGCTGAATAACCATTTTATAAATGCTTAGATCCTAGAATTTTTAAGAGACTTTCAAATCTTCATAATTTATATTTACAATGTAATCAAGTATCCTTTGTTGCAAGAGGGATGTTTAACGATCTCTTTTCAGTTTGTACTTAAACCTACAGAGAAATTGCTTCACTGTCCTTGGGAGAGGTAACTTTGTTGGTATGTCTGTTCTTCAGATACTTGATTTATCAAGCTATAACATTTTTTTCAAGCTATAAAATTTTAAGGATATCAGACTTAGACTTTCAACAGCTCGAAAACATTGATTGTATCTAGAAAGTAATTTATCAAATGTACCATTAAATGCTCTTGAAATACTTAAAATCCTTGACTTTCTTTGTCTTATATATCCATTAAAAGAAAACGGCCATTTGCGTTTAAAGGACTTATCAGTTTAGAGTATCTCTTTCTGAAAAATTCAAGAATTAAAGATGTTACTAGAAATGAATTTAGTGACATTAATAATCTTTTGATCTTGTATAATTTAGTAGATTTGAACTCTAACACATTTAGTTTATTAAATAACTTAAGTTAGGAACAGAATAATCAGTGTTGATAATCATACATTTGAAAACATGGGAGCATCTTTGAAGATCCTTAATCTGTCATTTAATAATCTTACAGACTTACATCCAAAGTCCTTAAACCATTGTCTTCATTGATTCATCTTCAGGCACTTTCTAATCCTGCAAACTTTTGAGCCTTCGAGACTGGCTAGCATCTTCAGCTGTTACTCTAAACATCTATTGTCAGAATCCCCCATTCATGTGTGACAGAGCATTATGTTATATTAAATGGACTGACATTACAAATTGCATTACATCTTCAACAAATGTGTCCAGGGCTTTGGCTGTAAAATCTCTTCGTATTCATCACAAGACCACTGCATTAATGATGACCTGGCATAAAGTAACCACACCTGGGAAACATTTGGAAAATACTGAGACTGAAAGTGTTAATTTCTGGGAGCGAATTCGTACTTCACCTGCCAGTAGATTTTTTCAAGAGAATACCCCTGGTAATCCATTAGAGACTACTGCAGTGTTACCTGTTCAAGTACAGCTTACTTCTTCTGTTAACTTGAATTTGGAAAAAAGTGCTCTACCGATTGATGATGCTTCAGTGTCAGGGAAAACATCACTGACTTGTACCCAAGAAGTTGAGAAGTTGAATGAGGCTTTTGACATTTTGTTAGTTTTTTTCATCTTAGCTTGCGTTTTAATCATTTTCTTGATCTACAAAGTTGTTCAATGTAAACAAAAACTAAAGGCACCAGAAAATTCAGGGGAAAATAGACTTGAATATTACAGCTTTTATCAGACAGCAAGGTATAATGTAACTGCTTCAATTTGCAACACCAGCCCAAAATCTCTAGAAAACCCTGGTTTGGAACAGATTCATCTTCATAAACAAATTGTTCCTGAAAATGAGGCACAGGTCATTCTCTTTGAACATTCTGCTTTATAACTCAACTAAATATTGGCTATATGAGAACAGCGGTGCCAACTATATGGACATAAAATGGAATGCTTCCCAACATCTTATATACTTTATTTGGAAATATAATGAATTATATGTACATAGAATTATTAAAATATATGGTTTTAATAATTTGTGAATAGTCTATTTATTAAGCAAATATTCTTTGATAGTTTCTATACTAACAGGTATTAGTATCTTAACATTTCTGTTTGCTTTTCACTATGTTAAGTATAACTTCACATATAATGTTTGTAATGTTAGTAATTGTAATGTTAGTAATAGTGCCTACATTTTACAGATAAGGAAACATATGCAGGGTTTGAGTAATTGTCCTGAATTCTCAGTTTGTGACACTTTACGTTTAACTAGGGCTGATGCTTTTAATTTCATGCTCTGTTGCTACCAAGTTGTTAGGGTTATACTTATGAAAAAGTAGATATGATTTTTATATAGGTAGAGTATAAAATCTAGAGGACACATGGTTAATTTACAAGTATGGTAAGTACTCTGTTTGGAGATGCTACTGGTATAATATATATGGAGATGAGACATGCTTTAAAAGAAAAGTTACATCACGAAAGATACAGTGAAGAAAGTTGAGTAACAGCGTGTCAGAAGGGTTAATGCTTCAATTTGTAACATCAGTCCAAAATCTCTAGAAAGCCCTGGTTTGGAACAGAATCATCTTTGTAAGATGATGCTCCTGGACCAGGGATTTAGCTCAGTGGCATAAGCGCCTGCCTGGCAAGCATGAGGTCGATCCCTGGTACAAAAGAAAGAGAGAGACAGACAGAGAGACAGAGACAGAGAAAACAAGTGAAAGAATGCTTTTTAGGTTCTAAAACAGTATAGCTAAAGTTCGTGTGAGTGGTAGTTACAAGATTTGAAACTGGAAAGAGATACTGGATGACAAAGAGTACTGTACTGTGCTTTATCCTGAGAGCAATAGGAAACCATTGAGGATTTTTAAGCAGTGAAGAAGTACCATCAAATTTACCATTTAGAAAGTTCACCCTTTCTATAAGGAACAGTAAGACAGGAGGCACAATTAACTGGGTGGGAATCTGAGTCAGGAGAGATATCGGTATTGGAGAGTTGGGCCAAGGATGGATGGATTGAGAGGTACCTTGCGTCAAATGCCCTGTCTTGGCTGTTGTCTAACAAGTGACAGGTGAAGGGGAATTAAAAGCTGTTATCTTTTTGGCTTAGGCAGTTTTGTGCGGTGTTTACTGAGAAGAGGACAGAGGAGGAGTGAAAATATGGGCTTGGCAAGATTCTGAGTTTGAATTTAGATGGATTGAATTTGAGGTCAATATCAGATGTCCAGGTAGAAATACTTAGCAAACAGAGGTTTAGGAGAAAGGTCTGTCTGATAAAGGCCGGTACATAATTCTTAACCTTTCATTATCCAGTATGGTAGAGTAAATTTTGTAATTTACTTATGCAAATATAAGTACTTAGGCCATGATTTTGAGAGACTGTAACTGGGGAAGACTACAACTTTGTAGAAGATAAAAGAACCCATAGGAGATGTGAATAGCTTTGATTGAGAATCTTTAATATAGCTGGTAATTTAAGTCATAGAAGTAATGTAATATTCTTTTAGCATGAATGTATACATAATGTACCACTCTGTAGAATATTCTGTATATAGTAACATCCATGATTGTTAATGATGACCTGAGCTAGAGAAAGATATTTGCCTTTTGCAAAAGAACACTATCATCTCTGTGGAAAATGAGTTGGAGGAACCATCGAAGATTCCTAGCAATGGAGAAACACCATCAAATATACCATTTAGAAAGTTCACCCCTTCTGCAAGGAACAATAACACAGGAGATATTAACTGGTTGGAAATCTGAGTCAATTGTCTAGGCAGGAGATACTTGTATTGGAGATTTTCCTGTTTGAGGAGTATAAAGTAGTTTAAGCTGGAGGCAGAACTGATTTATAGCATAGTGTTAATAAAAATGCAAAGAAGTGGTAACAAAGATTTTTCAGAGATATTAAAGAATTAGGATTTGGAATGGTGAGTGTAAAGAAAACTCTGGCTTGATTTACTGGATTGAAAAAAAAATGCTTTTTACTCAAGAAAAGCTGAAAGGGAGCCAGGTTTTGATTTTCTGAGTGTTTTGATTATTTGTTGCTGGTGGAGATACTCATACTTTTGGTATTGGGTATCTTTAAATTTTAGGTGCTTGTGCAACTGCCAAGAGAGGATGAGAAAAGATGCAGATGTGTTAGGGTTCTGTGTAACTCAGTATTCATTGAATGTGCTAGCAGTACCAAGGAGGAATTTGGCTTGGAGCTTGGTTGAGGCAGGCCTGAGTATATTGTGACTGTCCATTATTTTCTGGAAGAAAACCACATAAGACTGTACATTATATTTTGAAAACTATTGCAAAGTGATCAAAATTCTACTTATATGACATTAAATATATGCGTATATTTTTAAATACTACAAAATAATATTTTCTTTTATGCAGATATTTCAAGACATTTTTAAACTTTAAACTGCTGCCTTTTGCTTTGATCTTTAATGTTTCTTAAACATTCAAAGCGTCACAGGGTGTGTCACATGCCTAGAATCTTAGCAGTTGGAGGCTGAGACAGAAGAGTCACTGTGAGTTTCAGGCCAGCCTGGGCTACATAGTGAGTGCAAGACCAGACCATGTCTCAAAAACCATCAAATACACAACCCCCACCATTTTCTGCTTCATTGACAGGTGTAGTAGTATCTTTACTAATGTTGACATCAATGCCTTCATTATCATCCAGAGTTTCCTTTGAATTACATAGCTCTATTTTCCAGAGCACATTACTCTCTTTTTGGTGTTAGCTGTGTAACATGTAAGGACTTCTGTAGGGATTTAATTACAAGCTACAACAATCTTTTCATATAATCGTAATAACAGTAGGACAGTTAGCTTTTTTCAATTGTCCTAAAGATGCGTCTTTATAATTATCTTTCATTTATTGCATAGCTTTGTTTTCAACAATTTCCAGATGATGAGGTTATATAAGCAACCCCATTATTAGCAAACCTTATATCTCTTTAAGAAAAAAAAGAAGAACCCATTGTGCCATTAAGTCCATTATTGTTAATGATGGCCTGAGCAAGAGAAAGACTTTTGCCTTTCGGCACAAAGTACCCTAAAGAAGCATCGATTTTGTTTTATTTTATTTTCCAACCTGCTGCTTTTTCCAAGTAATTCTGTACAGTTACTGATTATTAACTTTTCAGGGAACCTTAGTTAGCTTCATTGGGCACTAATTTTTACAATGTGCATAATTTTTCTGTTGAAAATCATATAGGATGCCATGGTTACTCATGCTACTACATAAATTGTTTTGTTACATCTTATAGTCTTGAAGACACCTTTGTGTGTACATGCATATGCATGCTAAAAAAGAACAACTCACGTTAACAAAAGAGGGGCTAATTATATAAAATGCTATTAAATAGAAGATCATTGTTGATTTAAAAATACCCACTTTCATTTTATGATACCCAATTTGCACTACAAATTTTAGCTTGTTTCATTGCCGGTATTTGTTAGAGGACTAGATTTATTAATGTATTTTCCCATGAACATGCAGTAGATTACTGTGTGGGAAGGATATATGTTTCCATTTAAATGTCAGAAGTATTTGTAGCTTAAGTTCTGCAAAATATGTGAAAGGGAAAAACAATTTTGGTGTAAATGTCACTAAGAGTCTCTTGTGCTATGGAAAAACATGGATAAATAAATCAGGTGGTTTTTTTGATGTTTGATAAAGTGCTGCTCATTACTTGATTCAGTTAGTGATATAAGCAAAGTTAAGAGAGTATTTTAGGGCTGGGGATTTAGCGCAGCAGTACAAGTGCCTACTTGGCAAGTGTGAGGTTGTGAGTTTGATCCCAGTACCAAACAAAACAAAAGAGAGTATTTTATTTGGTTATAGCTTTTAGTACCTGAGTACTTTTTTATTTTCTTGAATTACCCTACCCAACATCCTTTACTTCTTTTTTTCATTAATATATATTTGTAGTATATAAAATGTTTGTATTTATCATGAAGAGCTTGTACATGTACATCATGTATTTTAATTTGTCCTTTTGGAATTTTTTTCTTTTTTTTGTTTGGTTCCCTTCCCCTAGTGTTTCCTCTGGCTTTCTCCAGTTCTTCTTCCTTTTCCCATTTGCAAAAGCTCTGTTTCCATTTCTGTCCAACCCTTTTTAGAATGGCTTCAAATATTAGATGTGATTCGTAATTTGATCTTGTTAGATCAGAGAAAATTCCAGTGTTTAAAGTTCTGATTCTTTTCTTTCTTGGGCTTATTATGAAACATTATTACATTGCCAATTTTAGCTTATGAAGAGTTAATGAAAAATCTCTGTTTTTGCCTACCATTTTCCTCCTGGGATCATGTGATAAAGACATGATGTAAATATTTAAAAGCCATCACTTATAGAGATATAATTTAAGATATATTCTCTGTGATGATGGATCAGTAACCCAAAAAGGAAGAAAGGAAAAAAAAATTCAGTAGTATAAAAATGCTCATTAGAAAAATACTAATAAAAAATTGAATAGGTAGAAATGGAGTCATATTCATGTTTAATTTAATGTTATTTAGGCTGACCAAATGAATATTAGATTATTTTATATATATGTGGAGATACTATTTTCTAATGGCATTTATGTTTTTAAACACCTGTGATTTGAGTTTATGTGATTTCAAGAGAAATAATTTTAAGTCAGCATACAGTTTTAAATCAGCTGAATAAATATAAGAGAGATTGATTGGTTTATTACATGATTTTCAGAAACAAGGAAAAATGACTCTGCTTAGTTTTTGCAGTTCACATACTGTACAGCTGTAATCTTTACTGTATACCCAGAAAATTCCTTAGGAAATGCTTCGATAGTATTTAAGAACAATGGTTTTATTCATGTGCATTTGAGTGAAAAAGGTTAACTGAAAACGGTATGGAATTGATTTAAATGATCATAGTCTTTATGTTGAGTACAAGCATTCATGCTATCATTGAATGCTTGTATCTGTGCATTATCACTTCTCAGATAACAGTTGCTCTTTGCTGTTTGTAGATGATTGCTTTCAGGACCTATGTGCATTAAAATTTG